AAACCTGATGGCCAGTGACACCTCCAGCTAGACTGTTAAAATCAGACTTGCTCTGCCAGATCCAGCACTCTGAACTTGTCCAGGTTGTAGAAACAAGCCTTCACCACTCTGCCTCCGAAGTATCTGCCATTTAGATCCACCACAGCTGGAATGGAGAGCAGGGACAGGTCAGCAAGCAGCAACTCAGTGAAGCAAACGTTTCCTTAAGCAGTCTGGCCAGTGAGACTGTCTGATCTCTCTGCAGAAGTTAACTCTGAGCTTCACAGGACAAAACTTACCTTTGATGGCAGATTCAACCCGTTCAAACTCTAAAAATATTCTCACAGCTTCATCATCAGGGGCACCAGGGATCTGGGACAAAACAAAACCCCAATGCAGAAAGAATTAACAACAGTAGTAAAACCACTGTTTTAATTGCTGTTCTTCACAGAAATAGTGAAGAGTGCAAACCAAAAAGGTCCCCAAAGCACAACACCCAGGGATTTCTGCCCAGATTCTCATTAGAAGTTTGTATCCTACAGACAGGGAGAACCCAGAATCCCAACCCAGTAAAGGGCCCTGAAGGATCTTCCATGTATTGCCCTCTCAGGCAGCAGCACAGCCATGAGGGACAAGTGCCCAGTTTCACTTTGAGAGCAGCCAAAAAGAGAAGCACATTCTTACCTCAAAGATGACACATTTCCCAACCTTGCCATATTTCTCACACTCCTCCTTTGTTTCAACTTCCAGATCTTCATCCACCTCTCCAGCACCTACCATGTTCTGAAAGGCAAATGAGAAATGCAGCTCACTGTGTGGAGTGTGTGCAGGAGATTGGGTTGACAAGTCACAGATGCACCAACAGCCACAGGAGGAGACAGTTCCCTGTCACTGAACAGGGAACCTGTACAGTTTGGAGCAGTGCTGGTTTAAAATAGGCATCTCCAGAACACAAATGCCACACAGGTGCAGGCCAGAACCACTGGAACCATGCAGTCTCACAACAGAACACAAGTGCAAACATTTCAACACCAAGAAACATTCTCCTGCTGCCAACTTACCCTCAGTAACACCACCTTAGTTGGGCACTTCAGTATCTCAGTCAGTGGGTTAGAATCTGCTTTCTTGCCTGTTTCTGTTAGGAAGACAGAGCAGTGAGCCACGGTGTGATCTGAGGTTAAAGCTCAACTAAACCTTACATGGAGACTTAGCAGAATCTTATTAAGCAAACAACGGGATAAAAGCCACAAAATGTCATTTCACACTGGTGAGGAGCAGTTGTTCATTACTCACAGCTACCTGGAAGGACACTAAGTAGAAAATCAATTCTACTGATGTGAACTAGGCAAGAACACTGGGAATGTACTATTTTTGTGAGGGAAATAATTCCTGAGCTCAAAATCCATCAGATTTCCTAAGGAATCAGGTCTCCTGACTTCCACCACTTATGCTCAGGCACAGGTGCTGTGCTAGTAAGCCTGGATGTTGTCTCTGGATCAGCCAACAGCAGGAAGTTAGAGCAATATCCAAAGGGAGAAGCCAGGAGGAGCAGAGCAGGATCAGCCCTTGAAGAGCAGAGACTTCCAAACACTAGAGGAGGACAACTGATGGAGGAAGGGGAGGCTGAGCTAAAAACCAATGCACACAGGACCACTTCCCAAAATGACACATTTCCACAAGAACAAATATCATTCTTCCAACTTCAGTATTTCCTGCATGGACAGACGGTAAGCAAAAAAAAACAATAAATCCAGGAGCTACATTTTCCACAACCTAATTGGTGTAGGACACAATTACCTTTCTCTGTAGACTCGCCAACAATGATCTTGCCACCTCTCTTGCTTGTCTTCTCCACTGACAGTGCTGTGCTGAGCCCCTGCTCGTGCTTCCCCAGCCCCTGGCCCTCTCTGAAGCCATACTTCTGCATTATTTTGTGAGCTACTGTCCCTCTGCAAAGACAAAACACAACAGTCAGTAAAAGTTTCTTCCCCAAAACATGAGCATTGCATTTCTCCTGAGTGCTCAAATACTCCACCTCCCCAAATTTCCTCACACCAAGATGGAAAGCACAAAAGCTTCTACAATTTGCAGCCTCCTCTCAGCTCCAAGCTGGTATGAGCTCCAGAGAACATGGCTTTGCTATCCCTTCCTGGAACAGACCTGGAGATCCTCAGTATTCATTTCAACACACTTCAGTGTGAGTGTGGCTCACCGCCTTCCCTGCAACCACCTCAGATGTGTTTCCCTCCACCCAGTAAATCCACTGCTTTCCCCATGTCCTGCCAGGCTGGACTCTGTGCACTCAGACTAACCACACACATGCAATGGGTTGTGTCCTTCTCTACTGACAAACTACTTCAGCCCTTGGTTAGCACCACCCTGCAATGCCTCTGCCCACAAGACGTGCAGGAGTCAGTTCTCACCCCATGTTAGCCAGGAAGGAGTTGCTGGGCCCCGTGGGGGAACGAGGTCTCTCGGGCTCATCGTACACTGGGGGAGGAATAGCTGCTTTGGAAGATGGTGCTCGAGGTCTTGAATCCTCCTCGTATGGAAACGATGCTACAGCTGAAGAAAACAGAGACATTTGCTGACGAAACTCTTCCACATAAGCCCAAATCAGGAAGCATTTCCTTTGCACAGGCTGCTTCACCTCTCCAAGAGCCAAGCCTTGAGTTAGTTTCCATTTTCCTCCCTGGCTACAGATATCCACAGCTCTACAGTGCATTTATGAAGCTCTTACTGAAGGGAAAAGGGAAAAGAAGGAAGGGGACAGAGCTGCACCTGGATCTCTGTCACACTGGTCAGATCATTACACTAACCACCCTGACAAGTCAAAGGGGCAAAAGGTAAAAAAAAAAGACTACAGAACACTGAAGGAAATATGTACAGACACTTTCAAATGGACTTCAGGGATTTATTATTAGACTTCATTTAAAAAACATTCTCTTGTGAATGAACTCCTGGATCTTATCAAATGAAAGGTCAGACATGAAGTTTGAAGGTGTCATATGAGCAACAAAAATCATATTCAAGCAGCAGATGAACTGGACTTTGGGACTTTGGCTACAGCAGTGCCTCCTCCTGTTTACCCAGCCTAGCTCTGAGCATCAAGAAGCCACACAAAGGTTGCCTTGTGGGATCATGTCACACTTTGAAGGCTCTCCCCAACCAGGAGCCTCTACTTCCTTCTCCTCGACACAGCTCAATTGCTCCTAATTACTTACTCCAAACAATCTGGTTTTAGCGTTCACACACTTCAGAAGCTTTCACTGTTACATAATTCACTGAACTTTGGTTTTGGTGTTTCCACTTCAATTTTATCATCAATGAGGACTCCCAAAGAAGAAGTTTGTAGGAACGAGATGCTTTTTTGAAGGAGAAAACACGCTGTCCATTATTTTATTTGTTAAATTTCTGACAGCTGGGCATGGAAAAAAGGGGAAGGGTTTTGTTCCGATGGGAAGATGATGCCATCTGCTGGACAACTGTGATCTTCACACCACCTTCCCCCAGGGAAGCACACACACCTCTTGGCACACACTGCTGCTCAGACACACACCAAATCCTGTCTGCAGTGCAAATCCCCTTCACCAAGATCCTCACAAAGGACCTCCCAAAGCAAAAGGCAACGGAAAGATTCCCTCTCCGTGCTGTGGAGGTTCCTAGTCTATGCAGAGAAACCTGTGTGTGACATCTCTTCCCTCATGCACATGGTAGGAGCCCAGTTTGCAAACCACTTCTCCAGCAACACCCAAAGAACCCTCAGGACAGAGAGGTGAGGCACAGCAGCACTGCAGGTTCCCACAGCTTCCCCAGCAGCACAGGACTGGTACAGGTCCTGCTGCCCCAAAGAATCCTATGGAAAAGGCAGCAGGACTGAGCTGAGGGGAAAGCTGAGTGAGAACTAACAGCTCTGAGAGGTTCAGAGAAGAGGATTTTGGAGTACTTACGTTCTTTGTCCTTCTCAACGAGAGAAGTGGGAGGTGCAATGGCAGCTCCCCCCATACCTATGGGCAAAAGGGAAGACAACAAATTGGGATGGGATCACAGCAGGCCTGAATTATTTACTGAAACTTTGGTGCTGGAAGAGAACAAAGCTTCATTTTGTTTAGGCACAGAGGTATTTCAGCAAACAGATCCACACCTTTTGCCTAGCTCTGTGGGCACCAAAATGGTGAGATGGTAAGACTCAGTGCTGAGAACTGAACAGTGACTCTCCTAGCCTGATGTGACCTCATGCCCCAATGTCACCTCATGCCTCAGCCTTCCCCTGGAACCTGCACCAGGCAGGAACTCCAGAGAGCTGTGCACAGACCCAGGCAAAAAGAGGCATTTCCACAAGTGATTTAGCTTACAATGTCTGTGCTGTAGTTGGTGAGATGGTAAGACTCAGTGCTGAGAACTGAACAGTGACTCTCCTAGCCTGATGTGACCTCATGCCCCAATGTCACCTCATGCCTCAGCCTTCCCCTGGAACCTGCACCAGGCAGGAACTCCAGAGAGCTGTGCACAGACCCAGGCAAAAAGAGGCATTTCCACAAGTGATTTAGCTTACAATGTCTGTGCTGTAGTAATACGTCACGTCTACAGCTCATTTTTTTTGGAACAGTATACTCATCTGAGGACAGAAAAACAGAGTCCACAGGAGAGGAATGTGAATTCCCCTCTCTTTTTCTCCTATTTCCCCACCAAAACCATAAGTGGTTTCCTTACTTCGTTTCCTTCTCTCCCTTTCATAGTCTTCATCTTCGTCAGAATCCGGATCTGGCCTCCTGGAGAACCCACTGGCTTCATGCCTGTCCTTACGCCTTCTAGGAGACACAGCAGGTTAGGGTAAGACACCATCAAAGCCAACTCCTGGGAATCATCCTGCTGCTCTCCATTTTGCAATGCTCCACATGAAGGTCTAAGCAAACACCTTTGCTATTTGTTTCTTTGCTTTTATCCTCATGGGTTTTTTTGGCAAAACTAAGATGTATCTAAAGGAAGATCATCTTCTATTTGCAAGTCAGTCAAGGAGAATGCATGGAAAGGAGGAAGTCCCTGAATAAACTGAGACCAAACTGAGTGCAGTGAGTGAAGGACTACAGTGAAAGGTGAGCTGGATGGGACAGACTGACAGGTAACAGGCACCAGCCTGCTTTGGGCACAATTCCTTCTCCATTCCCCCCACAGGCTGCACAGAGTAACACCATTTACTCAGTGAGTAAAAACACTGTCATACTCAGCCAGCTGATTACTGAGAAGCTTGGCTGGCAGCTAAAATAAGATCCAGGCAGAGCTTTCAACACCAAGTGGGGAATGCCTTGAGAATGGTTTGCATGTCAGTTAGTTACTGTGGTAATGAAATTACACTCATTTCAACACTTTTCAGAAGTTAAGAGCACAGTCTGGTGCCAAAGTCAGATCTCACCCTGTGCTGCAGGATGCCAAGAGCAGCTCTGGCACTCCTGACCCCTCCGTGTGGACTCACACCACATGCACAGCCTGTCACCCCAGAACACACCTCTGCGGAGGGTTTGCCCCAGCCTGAAGTCAGAATGGATGAGGTATTTTCCCCTTCCCTGTACAAAGACCTTTGGGCCACACAAACAGGACCAAAGAGAAGCCCACACTGGAGCTGTGGGAATGCCATCCCAGATTTCCGAGGCCTTGCAAACCAACAGGACAGAGCCTCAGGGATTTCTCCTCCAGCAGAGCAACAAAGATATTATCAAGAGAAGACACAGAGGTCCAAATGACTGGAAACACTCATTTCCACAGTCTAAACAGAACAACAGAACTGTAATCCCACAGGCTTGAGACAATTCATAATGTGATGAGTTTGGCTTATTAATTTCACTTAGATTAGCAATTAGAATCTTCTGCCCCTCAGGCAGATGTTTCACCACTTGTTTCAAGCAGACACTGAATCTGCACCAACTTCCTGAGTATGATCAGAGAGATTTCCTGTTTCAGGGAAAGGTATTAAGGTAATTGACAATAAGGAGCATTTTCTTTAGTCCAAAGACAAAAGAGCAATAAATACATAATTAACTTAGACTGGATGCAGAGTATCCAAAAAGGAAACGTAGCTAAGCCTCTCAGAGGCAGTGCTAGCTGCATCTTTAAAACTGAACCTGACCATGGGTCAGTTTGTGGGACCAGAAGCAGAAAAGATGGTTCAGCACTGAGGGCTGAGAGGTTTTTCTGTAGTCAGGTGACACTGCCACCGAACACTCTGCAACACCTGCAAGGCCAAAGTCTGACAGTGATGCACAAAATGCCCAAGTGTTTCTGCTACAGTGAAAGCAAATTTAGAGAGACTTGGCAAGTGTCTTTCAGCCAAAGTGGCTGTAAACTCCATAATGACCATTTCTGCACTGGCAGGTGATTTTAGCACTAAAACCTACTAATTACAGCACTGCACTCGTTCCTACAAGCACAGAATGTTCTCCAGGAAACCTCAAGGGATCTCCCCGAGACTGGAGGGACAAAAGTAAACAAATCCAGGGCTGTTTTTCAGAGGAGTATCAGTGCCAAGGGTTTAACTGGCAGCCTTACTTTTCCCTCTCTTCAATCTCCTTCTGCCTCTCCAGCTCGCGCTGCCTCTGCCGCTCCTCCCTCTGCCTCTTCACCACCTTCTCGTAGTCATTTGGGAACATGGGATCATACTCATCTGCCAGAGGAATCAACACATCTCCTGCAGAAAAACCACTAGGGACCGGATCCTTAAAAAATAAAAAGGAAAAGGAGTGTTTACAGGTGAGATCTGAAAACAACGTCCAGTTAGAAACCAAGAATTTAACACTTCCTTCTCACCAACACAGAACTCAATTCCTGACTTCCTATCCTGAACCCACTAGTACTGGAAGGAATCTTTGCTTTACTTCAACGTTTCACTAAGTCTCTCACTACCTCATGTTTCTCCATGGACAAAGAACCACCCCCTGCCCAGCACAAAGCAGCATGGCCAAGAATTTCTCACCCCTATTAACTCAGATATTAATAGAACATAAATATGAATTCACACAGAACTTTACAGGGTTTATGGCCTTTTGCTGTTGCAACCACCTGCAAAGGTCCTCCCACACAACTTCATCAGACTTTTCCATCAGCTGCTATTAATATAATGCAGACAGAGGTACAGACTGTGCTTTCCTCATCTCACAGAGCTATTTCAGAACGATCACCTCCAAAAAAGCTTCAAGGAGAAAGTTTTCTGATTCCTTACTATGAGAAAGCCATTTTAAAAGGTTAGGTGGCTTGGCTTTTATTTTCAAGCTGATTTTATACAGCTCTAGTCACACCTGCAGTCATGTTTCACTGACCAAACTGTTTCTTGCCAAGCACTTTGAAGCTGTGCAGAAGAATAGTGCTAGGAATTCTGCTCTGTAACTGCACAGCACTCCAGGCTGAGGACAGAGTGGTTGGAGAGCACCAGGAGAAAGGGACCTGGGAGTTTGGAGAGATAGAAAGCTGAACATGAGCCAGCAGTGTGCTCAGGGGGCCAAGAAGGCCAGTGGCATCCTGGGCTGGATCAGGAACAGTGTGGTCAGCAGGACCAGGGAGGTGATTCTGCCCCTGGACTCAGCACTGGTGAGGCCACACCTTGAATCCTGTGCTCAGTTCTGGGCCCCTCCGCTCAGGAGGGACATTAAGCAGGTCTTTACCTTTAACCCAGCTGCTACATGGGGTGGAGTGTCCACGATCTGCCTCTCATCAGAAGAGCTGCCTCGCTTCAGGTCGATCACTGGAGCCAGGACTGTGGTTTGCTTTGTTCTCTGACTCTGCAAAATCAACAAAACACAATGTGTCTACAAGAGACAGAACAGCTTCCCGAAAAGCAACTTGCTTCATACACTTTGCGGAGGGAGGTGAGTGGTCCTATGCTTGGGCTAGGACCAGAAACACACATTTAACACTCAGACAATCTCTTGAGGTGAGTTTGGACTGGCTCAGTTTGCCAAGAAGGGGCTCAGGTTTATCCCAAAGATCTACTGTACAGATTTACCATCTGATAAAACATCTGTTCTGAGCTCTGAGTCTCCTCACCCTGTCCTGTTCTTGTTAGTCTGTGACTACACTCCACATCAGCCACATGGACAAATATCATCACCAGCACAGCAGTGTGTTCCAAGTATCAACTAAACTCTACCCTCACTTGCAGCAGCACAAAACAGGAGTAGTAACAGTGAATTACTGTGCCTGCTTAAGAATTTGGCATCTGTGCTACTGCTTCCTCCCTTCTCAACTCAGCAACCTCCCTGCCGAGCCTACACAGCACACGGAACACACTTGTCCTGCCTGGGCCAAAACATCAGCTCTGCTCAAAGCAAAGGGGTGAAATACTGAGCAGGAAAGAGAGAAAGTGTCACAGTTCAAGCTCAGGGAATCAGCTCACACTCCTCCCTTTCACCTACACTAGATGTATTTGCTGTACAAATGCCTAATGCATGAGGATTTGCACTGTGGCCCTGAAAGCCTTTTCAACAGCAGGATGTGAACACCTGATGCAAAATTCCAGCACTGCACTGAGAACCACCAGTCACAGTGGGACCCTTTCTCACACCAAAATAAACCCCAACAAACAATCCTTAATCTCATTATCTTTAAAGTCCAACTTGAAGGTTTTGGCTCTGCTGGTTCAGAGCTCTGAGGTTTGCAGCACATCACCTCAGCAGGACTCCCTCTGCCAATCCCAGGAACATGCACCTTGCCTTTGCCCCTCAGCTCTGCTCAGTTCTTTGCTACAAACCCACAGACAAACCCCAAATTGGTATTCCAAGGTCACAAACACAATGCACCCAACACAACAAAAGCCTGAGGAGCAGAGAGCAAACCCAGAGAGGCACTATCCAATACCTTTGCTTGTGTGAGAGCTGCTTTCTTCACCTGCAGCTGAGACTGCAGCAGCTTGAAGTTCTTGGACCAGCCTTCTGTCTTGGAATCGCTGGTCTCAACCCCCAGGTCATCGTAAAGTGACATTTTCTCTTCAGTTTAAAACTGAAAGGCTGAAGGAAAATACTCCAGATGACACAACAAACCTATTTCCAGGTTATTTCCTACAAGTTTACATCTGTTTGTGCACCAGTTTGATACACGTTTTTTCAAAGCCAGGGAAGATGAAAAGGAGTGACATTTTTTTTGGCCAGCAGCAGATACGCATAACTACAGTCCACAAGATAATGAAAACTGTTCAAGCATTAACAGGTGTTGGGAACTCCCAAACCCCACATTTTTGTCATTAAATATCAACCATTTCAGGCTCTGAAGTACTTCAGCTGCAGAAAACACTGAGGTTTCTTGAGGTTCACAAAGAAATTCAACATTATGCATCACGTGAGCCTCAAGACTTCTGAATCAAACAAATCATTGCCCCTGGGGGCCTTAAAACCTGTCCACACAAACAGACAAGCACTGCAATCAGCTTCTTCAAGTTCACTGTGTTCTGCACCACTGCAAAGAATGTGATTGCTACAGAAACACACCTGTCAGAGCATCAGTGAGCAACATTTAAAGGCATTTTGAGCATGCAGAGCTCATATATTCACACACAGATATATATACATAACACTGGGGAGGGAAGGAGGGAGGTATGAAAGGAAGGAGGGAGGGAGGGAGGATGGAAGAGAGGGATGAGAGGGAGGGGAGGGAGGGAAGGAAGGAGGGGAGG